AAACTCTAAAACCCTGGAGCGCAATGGCGCTTCCGCCCCCTTGACCCCCGACCAGGGCTCTGCACCTGGACCGCGATGGGGGTCTAGGCGGCCCCCTATACCCCCGGCCTATTTCAATTTACTCTCCTGTTACTTTCAAATTTCTCCTGCTACTCAAATTCTTAAATAAACCCCTGAAACAGTAATAGGGAGCTTTTGATTTGTCTAACGACACGACGTTAGGACGGAATCACTCATGCGTGGCTGTCCTACCGGGCATCCTACGTCCTCTGCATATGTAGATTTGACTAAATTGCGTCCTAGAATCCATGCAACGAGAACTTAACATTCTTGCATGCGCAGATGACTTTTAGTGACTGCCATACGTCCTACCACCGTAGTGCAATCAATAGCTCCCTAATAAATAGACTTCATAAGTTCTACACAGCTCTATCCATGATATCATAATTTCTGCGACGATTATTTTCGCAGGAGTATGATGATGTCGTATTTAAACGAATATGAGGCTTGCTATCACACAACCAGCGTGGTGCTAAATGTTAACATGAGTAATTAACATAAGAATGCATTAGTATTGTATACTTTAGTACAGAGAAATCGTACTACTTTTACTCATAACTTTGGCAATAATAAGTTGATTCCAGTAAATGATCTATCACTTTAAAGCTTATAAAGTGGAGAATATGATTTTATTAAATTAAGTTTTCTTGTTTTGGTCACATGCTGGTTTTAGCATGGCAAGCCCCGTATATTGGCGGATCACAAGTATTTGTTAGTTAAGAAATTAAGTTATGTGAGATTTACACTAAAGTTACATTCTAAGAGAGAGTGGAGTTGCTTTTGAGGGAAAAAAACTTGCCATTTGGGAATGAAACCAAAAATGTTAATTCTGTCATCTAAATTTCAAGACAAAATCGTTCAATAATTTTTTTTTTTTTTCACAGCTAATTAAAGAGCAAGTTAATAACAAATACAAAAGTTAAGGTTTACATAATTATTATAGCCATTATTTTCACATTTAAATTTGGTTTAAATTATGCTTCACTATTGTAACTGTTAAATATTTCAAAATGGTTAAAAAGTGGCCTTATCTTTCATATCGATTTAATGAATTTTAAATTGTATGCTATTTTGAGTGTAAAAAAAAAAATGATTTGTGATTTGTTATGCATAATCAGAATACAGGTATCTTGTTGATAGCTGAATGTCGTGAACTCAATAATCTAAGCGTAATTTAAAATAATGCATAATAGTATTAACAAGTGCAGGAGCAGCGCTTCGACTAATGGCATTTCATTCAACAACCTGTCACAGCCATGGCTTCTTCAGGTGACAATTAAAGAGTGAAATAAATCAATCAATTACATAATATACTGTCTGAGGGGGCAAACAATCAATGCATACACAATAGAGGTATGGTGAAGATTAATCAACAAATGTCAAGCCAAGCTCTGCCAGAACAATAAATAATAACTTGTGTGAACGTATGATAAATATTATGATGAGGGCGGTACAAAGAGCAAGCTAGTATCACTACAGTGCTACGAACATTTATTACATGGAACAATAAACAAATAAATGTACAAGTCAAATACAAAGGCCAATGTCCAAAGCATATAATTATATACAAAAGCTATCATTAAAAACCAGATAGGATTACCAAAAGTCAAAAAAAATTCTATGTGAAGTGGTTTTTTGAGGTTGAAAGGGCAATATGAAAATAATTAAAAATATGTCCACCAATTAAATATAAATTAAAATTAAATGTTGCTGGGAAATATGTACAAAATGAAAATCAAAGCAATACAAGGAAGTAAACATTATAAAACCATGCTTAGTTTAAAACCCTTCAAATTCTACTTAGTGAGCATAAAATTACATTAGATATTAAAATTTAAAACTAATTCATTTGACAAGGATATATATTATATTTTATCTCAACTATTTAGGAAAGCGGTATTCATATTTATAGTCACCTGTTGCTGTATGTGTCTGACAAATTCCATAGATCCTGTTCATATTAAGAAACGTGTTAAACACCTTCTCCTTCTGCATAGGGAATACGACCTTCGACAGCGTATTATTAATGCGCCTCCATTCCAGGATGATTCCTGGTAATCCATGCAAGTTCTTCAGTTTCTCCAGAGATTCCTTCGATGTGTTGAAACTCTTCGGGAGTTTAGGACGCCCTCTGCCTCTAACAGGTTTTTGTGGAATGATGGAAGCACTTGGATCACCAGATGGTGGAAGTTTTAGTTCAATAAAGAGAACCTAAACAAAGAGTTTTCATTCTTTATTCCAATAAAAATCATATTGTGATTATGGAAATTAACACAGATAACAGGAATTACAATTTCAGTAGTGAAACTCTTAACCTTCATATTTGGAATTAAAACAGAATTTATACTAACAGTTTATCATCATTCCAAATGAATTTCCATCTAATTTAATGAGAACAATAAGATACTTAATTACAGTAGGCCATACAGAATATATAGTACATTGTAATTAATGTATAATAGTAAAAACTGTAGTGAAAACCTTTTCACTTGATATTACGAATTAGTCATTTGTGAAACAAAACGATAGGCTGGGGCGGATGCAGAGGGGTGCAGACGCACCCCCCTAAATTTTATTAAGAAAAAAATTGTTGCATTGTATTGTTGTAAGGTATGAGAGTGCAATTTCCAGGCACCTAGAGGCAGACACGGATCCAGACCTCTTCGCACTGTTCGCCATTATAAAGTGATAGCAGTGCCTGGTGGTCTGGCAAATTCCAACTCTTTCTGTCAGAAATGCCACCTACCTAAACGAAGACGAAAATATATAGACAAAATAAACTTCATGCATTGTCTAAGTATTAATCAAAGAGGAACCGTAATTAAATCAGCTGCACGATAATATACGGTACACTGTTGAGTTGTTTTATTATTATTATTATTATGATTTATGTCACAATGTTTAATACAAAATCAATCACAGGGAGGCTATACATGTGCGTTGATTCCTATAACCTTATTGAAAGGCATATTTAATTTTATTATATTTTGTTATTCCAAAATTACACAACAGCGAAAACATATTATTTTAATTATTACTTTTTGATTAATGAATTATTATTTCATTACTTTAACGAATGCTATTCATTTAAAAAAAAAAAAAAAAAAATCTTTAATGGAGTTTGTAGCCTAATTGTAAGACCGAGAGCTTAAAACTTACGAACACACTTTGATACAGTACATCTAAAAAGAAAGTCAAAAATTACCACCGAGCAGAGACACTGAAAATGAACACGGAATGTGAAGAAGAGCAACGACGTGAATGGTATGTAAATTTCAAATCATACAGCATTGGAAGTGGACAAAGAATTTTAAAAAAATACTGAGAAATTGAGAAGATATCTACGTGAATGGTATGTAAATTTCAAATCATACAGCATTGGAAGTGGACAAAGAATTTTAAAAAAATACTGAGAAATTGAGAAGATATCTAATAAGCGTATAATACTGCATTAATTAGCAAGTAAAATGTAAAGTTTACAGGCCCGTATATCCAGTAGGTGGGGACTTTACGAAGAGTGCGTATAATGCACCCAACCAAATTTGATAAGGTCCGCATTTCCAAGACAGTCGAGAATGTACTGAATATAAATTTTTAACCAGTAGGCCTAATCTACTCAGTCTGTCGTGATTCGGAAAAACGCAATTTATTCAATTTTGAAATTTTGGCTTGTGGATGTATCTATCATGGAACGTGATCATATACTCCAAACAATTTTTCGAAATATGAAATTATTATGAGAGTTACACATTATATCCGACTGTCCACCCACTAAGCATTGAAATGTTGGCAATCAAACAATCACAGAAGCATAATTACTTATTTTCCCAGCTGGTGGCGGTACAATAAAAATGCATTATTATTTTTCCTGAAGTTACAACTTAAAAACTGTGGTCATAAGATTAATTTTAGAACTGCAGTAACAAGATTAATAGGTTAATCATTCCATGTCAGCATGTGCACTGAAAAAGTACTTTTTTATTTTTTTTTTTAAATTCGATTTAACATGTGTATAATGACTTTGATAAACAATCATAAGTCTCTGTACTATCTATTAAACATTTAAAGAATGGACTTCCTTATGTTGTGGTCATATTAGACTTATTTTTAAAGACCATTCAACAAACATAAAACAAAATTCCCACGTCAGTGCATGCATAGAAATTAAAATTTCCTGAAATTTGGATATAGAGCGGACTTCCTTATGATTTAGGCCTAAGGAAATATAAATGTATATGGGTTTGAACTTTGTAGGTGACAAAGTGTTCTTACATATGTTGTGGTCATATTAGAATATAATATCATTAAAGACCATTCAACAAGCAATATGAAACATATATCAAACTTTTAGGTTAAACTTTCTGCTTCCGAGCATGCATATAACGTAATTTTTTAGATATGATATTTTCATGACAGTCGAGAATGTACTCATTATATAAATTGTAGATAATTACTGTTGTCCTATTGTGTGCAATGAAAATATGACGACAAACTCAGGATACGGACCTCTGTTGACACTCATATCAAAGGGCCTGTTGATTAACCTTACACAGGAGCCTGTCGTCACCTGCTACGATGCCTCTTTATCCTTCTTATCATCACATTATTATCATCTTCATCATCACAATTATTAATTAATTATTAATTATTAACGTAAGTGCATTATTCAGCATCTATAAAACAAAACTTTCCGAAGCTAGGAGAACCCAAAGACTACCGCAAACCACCGCGCCCCCCCCCCCGCCGTACATCCAAAATAATCTTCCAGTGATGGAACAAGCAAACATGCGTTCTCTTCCCATGACCCCGCCCACTCAGGGACTGCCATATGTGCGATAGTCAGGGTAAAGCTTGGTTTCCATAGAATTGCTCACCCAATCGGCGACGCTGACGAATCACGGTGCATTGCTACAGTAGCTGCCCTGCGCAATCAGGAAGGCACCCAGATTCGTCTGTGAACCACAACTGTCACAACTGTCGCTGATAGGGTGGGCGATTCTATGGAAACCGAGCTAAAATGCTGGATCCGTGCCTGAGAGGTCGCTATTCTCAAAATTTTCTATTCTCTCACCCCAACCATGGTGGGGGCACGCACCCCCTACCATCAAATCCTGCATCTGCACCAGATAGGCTAGGTCAAATGTTTATATTAAACAGTGGTGGAGCCCTGCCAGGCACAGGCACCCCTATTCTCCAAAATTTTCAAAATCATTAAAAAATATGGAGAAAACCGAAAATTATATTTAAATTTAAATCTGAGAGTGCATTTCTGGCCATCTAGGTGCCATAAATATATTTTTTGTTCTACCTCAGCCCCAACCATGGTGGGGCTGAGGCAGGTGGACACTATCTGTGCAAGTCCCTCCCTGGTGCCTCCATTTCGACTTCCTGGAAAACTGTTGAAGCACCATTTCCGGCCTCCTAGAAGGGTAATATTTATCTGTCAGGGGAAAAGAGAAGGGTTTGTCATGGAATACCATAAACAGCCTTGGAAAAGTGGGGTGCTAGAACCTCGGCACTCCCGAAATGCTGGTGAAAACCTTGGAATTCTGTTTAGGTTGAAATTATTACAGTATGTGTAAATTGATATATGATTATTGTTTCATAACAACAAAATCCCATCCACGTATCTAAAAAATATGGCCAATTTCCGTGCAAATATTGCAGAAATTCGGACCAAGGCTTCGCCTATGTCTTAATATACAACCCATGCATACGCAGTGTTACAATTCTGCGGACCTATTATCTGGAAATTTCCTGCACAAAATGAAGACAAATACTGTAATATAAAGTGAAATAAAGAAAATATAATTAATGTCTCAGTTTTTATATCATCTGATTATTTCCATCAGATTTTAAAATTCAACTCTGATATCTTGAATTTAACATAAGTTACAACATTCATGATATAATAATGTTTTTCCCAATTGATTCCATATATGGTGCGATGATATTTCTTGTTTAAAGTGGCAAAGAAGAGCATTGTTTTTATTACTGGCAAGAAGTGTTAATGAGAAGAAATATAAATCAGCCTAAATAATACAGTATATAATAGGTACTTAATTTGAAAATAGCAAGGCTTACCTCAGCAATGTCTTTGGGGGATGTCAATGAGAATGGATGTCCGGCAAACTGATAAGCCATTTGTTCTAACACGGTCAACTTAGCTTGCATCACATTCTTCTGTTCTTCAAACTCTTCTGAGTTGAATCCAAACCCATTGAGCTCCATCTTAGCTATGGTCAGCATTACAGGCATCTCAACCTACAGATATTAAAAGTGACGCAATTAGAAATAAGTTTTAGTGAAATCCAGCAGGCTATAACGTTTTGTATAGTAATATTTTTTTTAAATTGGAAATCACCTGAATGTTCCTTCATATATGAATGTACATACCATTTTTTCTTTCCTATTAAATGAGAATTAATGCAAATCACACATACTAAAACATTCCTCATGTCAAATGCCCTTTCATACTCTTTATATTCAACCCTTTATATAAAATAATTCAGGAGCAAAAAAATTGCAGTATAAACAAATGCTTATATATTGGCCATGCCCAGCATCATTCTTAACTCTTAACAATAAAGTCTGGGCTGGAAAACACTTTATCATCTGATATATTTATAAGAAGTTGTCAAGTCAAGATGGATATCTCGATATCAAGGCAGGAAGATAATAGTGTAGTTCATTATTTGTAAATTACTGTATGATTGATTATGTTTCCTAGCACAGTAATACTACATTAATATATTTATGGAAATTTTTATCCCATACATAAGTAATCTAGAGAATCATCTGCTAAATGAATGCTAAAAAGAGCTCTACCTATTAAGGTCTATCTGTCATAATTTGACTTCTTGTAAAAACAGAAACCGGCACTTTATAATTTTATGTAAGATGATTCATTCTTTCTAACATCCTTCTTGACACAATTTTTATCTCCCTCCAAGACCCTTCCAATTAACGACCACACAAATGTGGCCACAGATAGTTATGTGGCCCTGGTTGAAAACCTATCTTTTATCATTATTTGTTCCTTCCAATTAAAGACTATCTATTTAGAGACCAAAGACCATGGCTTTGGTGGATCCAACTGAAGATTTTCATCCTAATTACAGACCACTATTAAATACAGATAATGCGCATTTCATTGAGTTCATCAATAGCACAAAAGAAATATATTGAAGTTAACTATCTGTGATATTTCATGTTTTAGAATCTCAACAGGTTATAGTGTTGTACAGTACCGTACATTGAATAGTGCCAATGGATTGTCAATCTAGTCTCTAATCAAACCGTTGTTAGATGTGTTGCGACTTTAAATGAGTGTATGGAAACTTTCGTTCATGTTTTTGTCACAGAACTCAGCAAGAGCACTAAAGCACAGTACAGCCATAAGATTAATATCATTTTGTTCATTGACACAACAAATCAATCTAATTTCTTTTTACAATGTTGATGATTGAGTTACAAGTCTACATCAAGTGCCATGAGCATCTTTGATGGATACCGATGCTATACAAATATACACTATTTTTATTATTATTATCATTAGTGAAATTGAAAAGAATATTAACAAAGAACCATTAAATTAATAACCTTTTTAATTATCTTGACTTTTTACAATTTCAAATATGATGAATTTGCCCTTATCATTAATGCAAAAGATTGGCCTAGTTTATTAACTAGTCTCCAATAGTGCATCCACCTATGGTAATGTTTGTTAACATCAAGTTATATCCATCAGATCTTATCTTGTTAGCATTCTACATAACAACATGCAATGTATTACCTTTGTCATTTTCAAAAAAATGACCATATTTGTATTTTTTGGTGCTGATTTGGAGAGTATTAGATTTCAATTTATTTATTTTTTTCTCTATGGTACAATAAGATGGATACAAAGCAAAATAATAAGCACAAGAAAGAGAGTGGGAGAGTGGAACAAGAGCGAAGAGAAAGAATTCCAAAAGGCTAAAGTAAATCACTATCTAGGTTGGTCTCCTAAACACTGTCCAAAAATAAATGAACAAGAACAAAATGGGTTATCAAATGATCTTATGTTGTTGACACTCACCTCTGTAAAGGCTTTGTAAAGACCATCAGCTTTCAGTTGGTCTATCAGAACATCCATCAACATAAACACCATGACAGATTCAATCGTTGCCCGCACACGCCCTGAACATGCATTCTGGATCATCAAACCAAGTCCTCCAATACCGACACCACCTCCAATACCTAATGTGGCAAAATAGGTATTGGAAAATAACAAATTTGTTTATTGAACATACAACTTGACCACCGTTTCACAACCTATGGGTCGCGTCCCATGTTTGGGTCACGAAAAAAAAAAATTGATGGGTCGCATAATCTCTTCAGATCGTGAAAACTTTACTTAACACAAACAAAAATAAATTTACAGTAAACGAAAGTACAATTTCAGTGTCAAAAGTGCATCAGTTTACTTTTGTTATGCGTGCGTTATCACAGTTTCTTGTTAAAAATATATTATCAAAACATTTGTACTTCAGGTATGACAACTTTAAAGTATTAGTGTTGTTCCTTTCAATGTGTTAGGCTTTCAGCTGCAAATTATGATGAGAAAACATTTTTAAATTTAATGTGTCTGTGTCTTCGCATAACCCATAAATCTCTGGCAGCACTAGGAATTTATAATAAAATATCTGTAGATCATTAATTTTAAAAAATCTTTAGCTAATATTGAAAAAATGTATAACTTACGCGGTTTTGTTAAATGAGTAATTCAAAGTTATATTTTCATTTTTATGGGTTTTACATGATTTTGTGGGTGATAATATCTCTTAATCAATTCAAAAAAGAATCAAGTGGGTGGTTCCTCCCACTATCCCTCACACGTATAAAATGACGGATGTTTTATTGACTTGAAAATAACCTATCTCCTTCAAATTCATAAAATCTTGCATGTTCTGTCTTTTTGTTATACATGATTTACATGTAAAAATATTAGCCAATGCACATCATAAGATGTTTTGCGTATACAGTGCTTTGTGTATATTGAATAACAATAATGTTTTAGGGCGATGTTAGTGACTACTGTAATATTTTAATGGAGTTGGGTAAAACAAGTACAGGACTTCATGTCTGGTTGCCATCAAATGTTTTATTAAGAATAAGCAGACTGAGAATGAGTTTGCTCATGCAGTCATTTATTTTAAAACATTAAATGTGTTATTTCCTAATTTCACTAAAACAGAAAGAAATCTAAAGACCACATTTAATGCCCAGGGTTCCCAAGTCTCCTACAGAGAAGAACTGTTCTTTGCTGCAACATATATAGCGGCCTCATTTGACCTATTTTCCACATAGCCAGTAGGCTAGGCCTATGTCTAGTACTAGTAGAATTGTTGAAAACGATAAAATTGAGAATTAATTTTTATCAGACTTCCTAAAAAACTTCTCATGTCAATAATGTAAGCCTCCTGCATGATTTTATCATTGGATATATTCCATTAAGATGATTTGTAACTAATACTAGTTTCCAACGGAACTACATAAGTTGCAAGGTTCAAGGTTCTGCTTTGATTTAAAATTTCCATAACAATTGTATAAACTTTTAAATATAGTTAATTTTAGTTTCACTTTGTATGTTGATCTTATATTGTAATACCATTTGCAATTGCGCTTGGTAATTTATATTGTTATGTCCGGTAAAGTTTTGCAAACACACATTGTTCTCCATTTGATAATTATATGGTCAGTAATGTGACATATAGTAAGTTGGCCTAAATTATGAGTCTATCAGGACAACTCTGGTGTAAAGATTTGTAGTCTAAATTAGTTAATTGCTATTTTGATAATACAATCATGTAAGATTATATTGTACATGTACCACATTCATTCATATGTTTTATTATTAGTCTAGATCTTTTAGTTCTAAGTGTTTATATTTTCACTTTTACAGACGAAATGTTCATTTTGGACATTATACAGTATAGTGATATTTTTGGATTTCACATAGGCCTAATCAACAATTACATAACTATTGGAACGGAAATGTAATTCGACCATCAATTGGAAGTTTGGAACACTTTCCTGTACACTGAAATCTTTTAGGAAACACTTGGACAATTAAGAACAATTCATGTTGCATAACATCATTTCTTTGATGCTATGATTGTATCAAGTCTCACAAATTCATCTTTTCTGTAATTCAAATAAATACATATTATATATAACATTTTAACAAGGCCTTTTCCAGGATTATCTATAAATTTGTAATATTGTTCTGGAATATTCGGTTTTTCAAGGAAACGCGGGTTACACATACCTTCTAGAAGATGGATCTCATGCGACAAATAGTGGGTGACCATTCCTTGAAGATTTCGTTCCTTGGCTTCTTGGCTCAGCAACCACCCTGCTACTTTAGGATCTTGGACTGCTCCATTCAGATTAATACCGCAGGCACGGCTCAGCACTTTATACTTTGGATATAAAGTAAGTATATTAACAGTGCGCCAATGCAATTACTGTAACACCACCACTCATTCTTATCACTGCTGATACATTATTGTTTTTTATATAATTTTATTACAAAACTCAAGCAAAAGCGAAAAATCTGTCAACTACACTGTCACAATTAAGCTTTATGTGACCATATATGGATGTGATATAACATTATAATGTCCATAAATAGGCAAATCACATTTGTATTTGTCACAAAAAAAACCTGAAAGAAACTTACTTTTTGTTACACAAACTGCATGTAGAGAGAATATGAAATATTTCTAACCTGATTTTTGTAATCAAATAACCGCCTCACTATTTCATTTCTAGAAGGGTTTGTTCTACTCATCAACAGCACTCGTTTGACTTGTTCTAATCGCTCATGTATGCTAAGGGTGACATCACATGGTGGTTGTGCAAGGCTGTCATCAAGACCTGGAGTGATGTGGTCTTGGAAGGAGATGAAGTAAGCATCCTTGGCACCCCAGCACACAGATATGCCAGTCATTAGAACATCTTCTTCTGGTACTTGTAATCCATCTATAGTTTCAGGCTTCTTTGTATTACCTGCAAAACAAGTGTTTCCTTAAACCTGAGTTCATATTCATTTTTATTATTATTAGTTATATAAATTATAAAACTTTTTTAAAATGGCTTTGGTACATATTGGGACAACTTTACTGGAAATAGAGGGCCTCAACCTTCTCTTATTATTCGGAAAGCCTAACAAGAAACATGTTTTTCTGCTTTTTATAATGTACTACAATATACTTCTAAAATCATGATTATTATTTTTAATATACTGTAAGATAAATTAAGTAATGTAAACTAAAATTAAACATGTACCGTACATACACTGGCATTAGAATGTGAATGTATAATTCCAAATGAAATTAAGTATTGGAGGTTTAACGTTTCTGGTTAGAATTTAGGTACAGACTCGTAAAAGCAACTACAGAAACTACTGAAATAGAGTAGGTACTACTGTTACATTATACAATACTTACCTTTATGAAAACGTCCTCCAATACCACCACCTTCTACGGTTGCCTGAATTCCCTCACAAGCAACTGCCAAACAGTACACACTTTTAGACTGCCATTCAATTAGAAAGTTCTCAAACATTCCTCTGTCAGCACACACATCCACGATCGTGAAAACACCGTCTGTAGCGGGGATATTGCCACTTAAGCCCGTATCAGGGGATGTGTTACTGATGCACCTCTCTAAAGTACAGGTGAGTTGAGTCTGTGTGTCCAGATAGAGCTTCAATTCATCCTCTGCACAAGCATCAACATCCTGACATGCAGGAAGAGTACGTGTATCAACAGGTGTATCATTTGACTGGATAAACTTATTGGCAGCTTTTGAAGCCAATTTTCCATTTGGCTTGTTTTTGGTAGCCATACTGACATTTGTGTTTGCACTAGGCATCTTTGAGGTACCTTCCGTAAGATTACCTTTACTTTTCAGATGGAGGGTTGTAACTGTTTGTTTGTTTTTACGACGTGGTGTGCTTTTTATGGTTGAATATTTTTCTCTCTGAGGAGTGTGCCGCAAATACCTTGGAGTTACCGGTTTGTTTTTTGGTGGAGGAGTGGGAGGTATAAAATCATCAGCACTTTCCCTTCTTTCCTTCACAGGGCTTCTATTAGAACAAATCACATCTTGCTTAGCACGTTTCTCTGACTTCAGTTCATTTACCAACACTTCATCACTTCTGCGTTTTCTGTGCGGAAAATAGTTGTCAATCTGAGACTTGATTTCTTTGTTTCCTTGCTTGCATTTCTTTGGTGGAGGCCTGTATTTTTTTTTATCACCAACATCACCAGCAAAAAGGTCAAGCATTTCAAATGCATCATTACCGCAAGTTTCCTTTGATCCTTTCGGTTCGTTTACCATTACATCTAACTTAACAACTGTTTCTTTTTCTTTTGTAATCATATTAATATTGTTATCTACACTGCTATTAATAGGACTCTTCTTTACGAAATCCTGTTCCACATGTATTTGTGGATCTTGTAATTCTGTAGAATTTCTTGAATCATAAAATGAAAACGACGAGCTGTCGAGGGCAGCAAGAGCAAGATCATTGTCTAGCTGAGAATATGTTACGCCTACGTCAATAGTCGGACGTTTGATGTCAATGCATGGCGTGATCAATTTGTTTGATTCAACCTGATTGGATGACACAATTTCACTAACATGATCATTTATCTCAGACTGTTTAGCACCGTTGGTGATTGCAGCGCTGAGAGGAGTACTTGTTTTGGTCATATTTGAATTACTAAATATTGCACTTGTTTGTTTCGAACTTTGGAAAACGTTATTGCACTCTGATACAGGCAAATCAACCTGGAATAAATTATTAATTATCGGCGAATTCAAAGAGTTAACTGACTTGTACATGTTAAAAGAATCACTTAAATTCATTGCAATCAACATATCTTCTTGTAAATTAGAATAAGAATAAATAGAATTCCTTTTCTGTCCTGTAGAAACTGCAGCCACAACTGTTTCGAGATTATGTTTCATTGGCGAATGGTTCCGCTTGAAATCATTCACTAAGCATTCCTCGAAGGTGCAGCTGTCCATTAATAGCGGAGAAGCTGTAGACGAAATTAATTTATTCTTCTCGCAAAATTTATTCATCTCATTAATCAACTGTGAATCAAGTGAAGGAAATAAAGGACTAAATTCGGAGCAAATTTCTGGAGATACAAGGAGGCTATTGTTAATGCTTTGATTCAATGTGTTTACGATTCCTTCATCTTCTTCTTCCTTGTTCTCATGACCCCTAATTTCAATAACAGCCTGAGGTACATCATTTTCTTTCTTAACTAAATTAAATTCCTGATTGGTTTCTTGTGATGGTGAATACAAATCTGGACTATTCAACATCTCGTGAGAATTTACTAACGACTGTAACGTTGTTGTTGAGGTCTCACTTTTCTGTACTGAAGTACCAGGTTTACCTTCAGTGAAATCCTTATCACTGGACCTTGCTTCACTACTTGTAGATGGCTTAGATACAGTTGGAACTTCATCATTTTTTCTTTCATCAGGTAAATTATTCTTTCCAATATCTGATTGCAAACGTTCTGCGGCATTTATTCTTGATTGATCAACATCGGTTACCTGCGATGAGCGTGGATTGTGGTTTTCAATGTTTCTTACATCTCCAACTCGTTCTTGAGCATTTTTACTCCGGTAACTGCCATCCAGCATCGCAACACCAGTATCACTACCAACAGAAGTCTTTCGTCTCTGCGATGCTGACAGGGGTAAAGAAGGATATTTAAAATTACCACTTGAATTCCCAGGCTGGCCAATTCTCTGACTAGATGATCCAAATGATCTACTGGAAGCATGGACAGCCTTTGCTGGTGTGGCATCATTTCCTTTCCATTCAACTCCCATAACTTTAAGATCTGCTTTTAGAAGTTGCTTAGCTTCCTTTACAATCAACAGCGCTGCCTCTTCTTCTGTCAATCCTTTACGTCCTGTGGCCCAGATGCACCTTGATTTCTTCCTCTCCATAGCTTCACACGCCAACTCGCCCTCTGCTCTGCGAGTGCTGGAAACATCAATACATCAATACTATATCAACAATACTTTATAATACTTATAAACCATTGTATCATCAATACATAAATTTCCAAAAAATCAACACAGGTTCTATTACATACTGAATATTGATATACTTTTTATTTGAATAAAATGCCCTGGGGCATTTATTATGCAGCAGAGCATTTGAGGAATGCATTTTTTTGAGTGAGGCGTTGATGGATATAAATTATATATTTTTCACTGGACATATTTACTGTCACAATTATTGTCGTAAGTTATTGTATGATCACAGCTTATAGATTACAGATTAGCAACAATTTAATACTACAAAAGTAAAAACTTAGAAGGATATTTACAGTATATTTGAGGTGGGGGGGGGGGTGAGGAAGGCTTGTGTTCATTTGATGGAGGAAGAGGGTTTATTCCAAATGATATTCTAAAGAGAGCATTTAAGCAAGGGGTGATTATTCAAAGGGGAATTGTATTTATTCAAAAAAAATATGGAAAGCACAGATCTTATGTCTAAAAGCAAGTGATAAAATGGGCATTGCAAACCTTTGAAATGGTACAGCTTTCCTCAAGAGAGTCTCAATCTCTGCAGCGTTTGCTGCTGCTACAGTGGCAACCGTATGAAAGCCACTGTTGTAGAGCAGTCTTGCCCGTTGTGCATTCACTAGAGAAATGCGAACCAGGTCCGACAGCTCACGCTGGATACCAAAGTTGAGACGATGCTGGAACTGGCTGACGAGAAGTTCCATATTAAGCCATCCCAATTTGTTGCAGAAAACAGTCACCATGCCTAACATATTAACAATGAATATTTGAGGTCACATGTAGAGTGTGTGAGGGCACGTATAATGCCGGATTCATACAAGACAAAATGTTGTACAGGGGGCACGCTACATTGCAATTTCATGAAAACGCATCAGTAAGTAAGTACCCGCCAGACACATGCAACACTCCCAAGATAATTAGCATAGATCAGTACACATGCTCAGGGGGCTTGGTCAAGCTTATCTTTTTCTGTGCGATTGCATTTTTTCACTGTCTGCGTATCAACTGTACTGACAATGTTAAAATTCACTCATGTTAGTACAGTAGATGGTGATTCTGGTAGGAAAATTTTGTGAAAAAATTTTTCATGTGTGAAACAGGTTTAAAACTTACTTGATGTCAAAGTGTTTAAAATTTAGGACAATTCTCAAGGTATTGCTTTTATTTATTACGGTCTTTATTATAGAAACAGATTACTGGGTTTTTAATACAATTCAAAATTGTTAAACTGACCTGCAAATGTGGCAGCAGATTGCTGGAGCGACTGCAACTGACCTCGAGGGCAGCCATATTTACGCGATACTTCACACAAAGGGACTTCATTGACCAAATCGCTGAGTAGTAAGGCCGTGTAAAACCTTTGATGTAGAGCCACAATTCGTTTATGTCTGGCAGTAGTTGTAGGAATAGAACCCTGTGCTGCCCTCATGAGGAAGCGCTCTTCGACTCCCACAAGCTCTGCAACCCGCAACTTGTCCATTGAGAAGTTCTCCCATTGGCTAATGAACTGGTACCAATCTGGATTCACTGATTGATATATTGGTGTTACCTTTAATTTCAGAAAAGAATACATTGATATACGACTAATTGGTTACGATCTAATGTCAAGTTGGAGCACCATCATCTTTAAACTCCCCATATCATGCTCCATATATAGGCTTACAGTATTACATTAAACAAACTTAAATATTGGTGTGATATGACATTATCGTACAATTATATAGGGCAATCAGACATAATTAGACGTTTAGGCTAAGATATACCTGGTATATAATATGCAATTCATTCTCCAAGACAAAGTTTTTCCTGGCACGTTGAAGCTCAGCAAAGACAGCAAGGGCCTCGTCTGGAGACATGGCTGATGAAAGTGTTGCAGAGCCCAGCTGAGTGGGTACAAATTTCTCAACAACTCCACCTAATTAAATGAAACACAATATTAATTAGACTCTAGTTAACAATGGCAAGGAAAAGATATATTAAGCTTAAAGTTGGTATGTAGCTTCTACGTGCTCTGCAGTTAAAATTTCCAAACAATGGCAGATGTTAGTGGTTTACTAGGTGTTTACAATCAGCACTAATTAAAATTACAATCTAGAGGCATGTCACTGCTTGATTCATTTTTGCAAATGATTTTGCCCTGTCTAAAAAGAAATCCCTGGATTCACCTTGGTTAACAAAATAGTACTTTCTGACATATTTGACTACAAAAAGAACAGTAAATGGCTTTATAGAGACAGTGAGGGCGCTATAGCCATTTTCATAGCCACAGTAAGAACCTGTTACAGCTTCTTTAGATATTACTTCTAGCCTATCAACATTCATTAATTTCATTGTATTTCCTACCATTTGTATCTGTTTTTTGAAGATGAATGAATTCATTGTCCTTCAAAAATTGAATGCAATTCTCTATCACATGACCCTCAGTCTCTACATCTCCAGCCTGCATTTCATGAGATATACTAGCTGCTAGTAATGTACTGGATGAATACTGCTTCACTTCATCTGGGGTGGAGGCTACACCACTAGCTATTACCTATTAATACAACAATGTCATAGTAAAGTAAACATACGCATATACTGCAATGGTCGCAGCATTTCCACTATCTCATATTTCTCTCTATTGTGTAGGCGTAGTAGCACTGCCTGCATTTGTCTAACACGTCTCAAATGCTTTAGTGTTAGAGGCGGATTCAGGGGGGCTGTCCTGGGACCAATAATTTTTTTGAAATAAAAAAACATGACTCAGAATTTGGCTAGGTGATCTGGCGAAGGAAGGACAAGCATTGCAACAGTCAAGTGGTGCCCTCAGATGGACAGTTCCATTTTCTTTGCAGGGTGTTTATTAAAAAAGCCGAGTCTGTATGATTCACAAAATTGTGTGCGATACGGCAAAATGTGATAAGGATTAAAACATACCTCTAATATTGCCCTCTTCATACTGCTGCTCAGACCTTCATTAGCATTCTGTTGCAGGCAACTACTCACTGGCGACAGCTTGGATCTTACCAACTGCTCGGCCTTGAATTTTTCAGAGGGCTTACACACTAAGATGCTTTCTCCTATAATATAATACATAACAGTTAAATATATACAATGAACCTTCCAGAGTATCAATCAAACTTAACAATTGAACAATCAAAACAAGGCCAGGAATAACTGACGTGTGCCCTACAAACATACATGTTCTCTAACAAATGCAGGGGTTTAGCCAGAAAAACGAAACAGACCGTCCAAAACAGAAGCCAGTGGGCCACGCCCCCTCCCAAACCTAAGAAAAAGAAGAAGACATTTAGAGGGCATTTAAAGGTGTTTAAATGTTGGAATTTTCTCTTCAAAGGAACAGTGTTGAATTAGCTATCACAACGATACTTCAGTTATAGACATAGATTGTGCACGGCTATGGTTACTAACATGTTTCTAGGCTATGCAGATGCACCTTCATGTCACGCCTAATAGTCTAGTGTAAATACTACTCTAGGTCCTCCGGCCGAATCGAGAGATAGGCCTAGACCTACTGTATTTTGTTGACTAATAAAATTTAACTTGTGACATTAACAACAAATTTTCTTTACGGTATTTCATGAATTAATTATAACCAGAGAGTTACGAACACCGACAATATTATGTCGGGGAAATGAATCTCAAGTATTGTATTTGCAGAGCCATGTGCATGTGTTGTGGGAGACTCAGAACCGTCCATTTTCCAGTGGGGTGTAAATATTTTTTGCACGACGTGTGTTGTAAGTGAACTTTTCACCGGGTAGGCAATGGTTAAGCCATACATTTTTGGGAATCCCCACCAAATATTGGTATGAAAACAACGTACATTCAATCAATAAAGGTTGTTTTTATCAAATATGATTTAGTTTAGTTTAATGTAACATTCGATAGATTTGAAGAATGTATAGAATTTGCTAAAGGTAGACCAGGCCCAATTGGGCTAGGCCAAGCCGTCCAGGCCGTCACGGTAAAAGTGGCCGTCCTAAATAATTGTTGCTGGCCAGAAGATGGCTGGACGCCTCACTGGCTAAGCTTATGTTATTGTGGGACCTTAGCAGCAATATCTATGGGGGTTTACTAAATTTCTAATGACTCAAAGTATGAAAATCATACATCTTGAAAGTTCATGCTAGTAGGTGTAACAGGAGAAAAACTTCAATTTTCAATATATTTGTAACCTATACCATCTGATGTGTTAACCTATACCATCTGATGTGTTTGGGCCAATCAAAGCTCACCTTCAGTATCAATTCCTTTCCGTCCGGCTCTTCCAGCCATTTGCTTGTATGTCAGTGTGTCCAACACTGACCGGTTGAAAGATGGGGTCCTAATAATGACTCGACGAGCCGGCAGATTGACACCAGATGACAGTGTTGATGTCGCAACCAGAACTTTGATAATACCCTGTCGGAATGCTCCCTCTACGATGTCACGTTCATCAAAAGTCAAACCTGAAATATTTGTTAGATAGTCCATAGAACAGAGAAAATGATGAGTCGTAAGTCTGATATGTTAGATCAGTGGTGACCCCGAAGGGGCTGAAGGGTTCAAGTCCCTTTTCGGACAGACAAATTCTCCTATCAGCCACAACTTGTTAGACCAAAACAGGAAAAAAAATTGTAATTTAAAAAGAAACTTGTTAGGTCTAATACATTTAAAAACAGCTTTAAATGGCCCAAAATTTCCCAGTTTTCTAAGCACCAGAGAGATTAGCTGTTATTTTCCAAGATAACTTTGTTCCTGGACCCAATTGGCCTACAGCAGAAATTTTCTGTTGGACACCTAATCCCCCTAAGAATGTTTTTAATTTCTATTTCAGATCAAGACGTCGCTTACCAGCATGATGATACGCAACAGCATAAGGCACTGTCTTCTTTAACGTCGCATCAATACCGACTGGAGTTCTCTTCAGTTGTTCAACCACATCTTTCAAAGCCGCAAAGTTCAAATCTATAGGCTGGTTGTCAGGAGCATGAACATTATCTTTAAAAAATAAAAACAAAAATAAGTTACAATACTCCTTAACTATTCTTTAAAAAGCTATACCACATTCATTGCTCGGAAAGCAAACAACACAACAGTGGACGTAAAACTCAAACTATGTACTAAATATTAAAAATATGCAGTCACAATGAATTTAATAAATCTTCACCTCATTAAATGATAAGTTTACTTAATAACCATTACACATCTTACCTTTCTCTGCCACAGGTAGAACCCCTTTAAACCGGTAAATTTCACGGGCAATTGACTCTGATAACTTTTCACACCAGTTCTTGGTAGGGCAGAAAATTAGCACAGAGTGTCCGTCGGAGATGGTCTCAAACGTGAGGGAGATGACGGCATCCTGATCACCTTGAATTCCACGCCCTGGGTAGAAATCTCTCAGCTTTGTCATGTCATTAGAGTACAGGGTGCTGTTCAGTTTGACCATCTCTGTTAATGGCACAGGCCGGAAGTCAGTCTTGTAAAGGTCAGCCTTGAGCCATGTGGCCAAGAGGTCAAGATTGGGGAGAGTGGCACTCATGCCGACAATCTGAATAGCATTTGAAGGATGGCCTCTAATAGAAAAGTGACACATTATACAACAGACATTTTAATGAAGTATTATTCTAGACACATTATTATTAGAAACTAATGTTTTGTTTATTTGAGGTTTCTATCTCTGTTGGTTGTGGATTAAAGAAAAAAACATACAGAAGTGAAATTATACATTGTCTCTTGTCTAAATTAAAGGTGTGGTCTTCTAATTTCATGCACGCAATAAATAGGATTGGATTTATTCGGTGTAAACACCAAGGAAAGCCCACGAAAGTCTAGAAGAAGACTTATTTAGAGTGGGGTCCTTCTGGTGGTGATTGGGCAGTACACCGGGAGACAATCCCCTACTCTTTTCCGAAGAGTGTACTGCGTTCTTTAACGTGCACATGGGCCATAATGCACACAGGACCAACGGCTTAAACGTCTCATCCGAAAGACAGTGCACTATTGTAACTTGTATTTATGAAACATAAGGAGAGGCAGCAATGGGAATTGAACCAGGGACCTAGAGATCTCCACGGTTTAGCGCACACACAGCGGCTACCACCAGATTAGCCGACTGAGCTAAGCTGCTCTCGCAACTGTTCCTATTTTTTCTAGCCTGCCCACACAACCCTACCTTAAGATTATTTTCTTCAACTAAAATAGTAAAATGGTATCATAGCAATCCTTTAATATGAATTTATTTTACAGTATTATACATACATGCATATCCTTACCCATCCACATTTCTGAGTGATGCCTTGTTTGATACAAACATAATCTTGGTGAGAACAAGCTCCAGAAGGTATCCCCTATGACAATCGCCAACCATATGTAACTCATCAACCACGACAATACCTTTAAGAAAATCAAGAAGTTCTGCTATGTTACAGGAAACACATAATACCAATAATTTTCTGAGCAAAGGAATTTATCTTGAATTATTTTTATTGGGCATAGAATGGTATCTATACACAGCATGCCATCTCCTACACATGTATTATTTGTCACAAATATCACTACTATATACCCCTTTATTTTCCTGAGTGGACAGGAAGAAAAATAGAAAATGTGACAGTGTACTTTGAGGAACTTGATCAGCATTAGACATCAACCCAAGACCAATTGGATTAAAGCACAAAGCCTAACATCTGTGCCATGCATCCTCCCAAAGTGCTATTAAATTATCTCAGCATACACCTGTAGTGTAAAATTTAAGTTTAAACTTTAATTTACCTAGTTGATCTAATTTCTTCTCTTCAAGTAGTCTGTTCACAAGGCTATTGGCCTTCTCTATGGTGCACACTGCAATATCAATCGCATCAAAACCTCCTGGGGGCGCTATACTACCCATATAGCCATCCACTTTTATCCCTACATCTTGAAACATGGCCTACGAAAAGGAAAGAAAAAAATGGTCATTATTCTAAGCACTGTCTTCACAATATATTCCATTGAAAGCATAAAGTAAAATAAGATTTTTTTTTTTTATATCAGAATCATTTATAGATTTTGTGCACCTACTGTAAAAACAAAATATAGAGTACTCTCTTTAAATTTATTTCGATCGCTTTTGTGATTGTTGCGATTTTATGAACTGTAATGTTTTTAAGTGAGGGCCCCATGATCATCAGCATACAGCTGTTTTGTGTAACCCTTGGTAAATGAAGTCAAATAGAAAATATAAAAGTAAAAAGATACTTTTCCCTCTTTTTCTTGCTTGTGTTCTTTAACACTTTCTTCATGGTTTTGTCATTTCTTTCTCATTTTGTTCTTTCCAGGATTTGCCACTGTTTAACAATTTGTCTGTCCTGGCAAACCTTTAATGTGTCTTTACAATATGCTTGTATGTAACACATCATTTGCCAAATAAAATTGATATTAATATTATTACTAACTTGCAGATAGAACATCTTTTCCCTGGTGACGGATACAAACGGTAGAATCACGATAGCTTTCTTTCTTGTCTCAATCACTCTCTTCAGCACCAGAAGCTCAGCAACCATTGTCTTGCCGGCACTGGTGGGAGCAGAGTACACCAAGTTACCACCATCGAGTACCGACCCCTGGCTCAGACACTCCGCCTGCCATTCAAACATTTGTCGGACATTTTTGTTGTGGTACTGAGCAAGCACTGGTTCTGGTAAACCCCAAGAGGACAGGAGCAGACGATCTGGTGTCGGTGGGGGTGGTGTCAAAGTGCTCATTGACAGTCCACTCAATTCAAATCCTGCAAGAAAAAAATGAGACAATTTGATGCTTTAATCTCTGTCCACATTATGAAATTTTATGTGACAAGTAATTGTGACATGCTCATATTTGGGTGTAATATGACATCATCATGAACTGTACACACCTAAGATTTTGTATTGTTTATGTAGTAAAGGCCTTCGATTATTTATTCTTGTTGATTTTATTGTTCACCATTCTGTAAGTATTGAATCTCATTTGCAGTTTATTTAGGCATGGAAATAAAACAAATAAAAATATATTAAGGGGACATTACACAAATTTGACCCATAAAATTTGATAGTGTGGACAGAGCTATACTGACAAAATCACAATGAAATGACGAAGAATAGCTGACGATGCGACGCTATAACGGAATCACTAGTGCGTGACTGTCCTACCGGAAATCCTACGTTCTCTGCATACGTAGATTTGGCCAAATTGCGTCCAAGTATCCACGCGACGGGGATAACTTAATGTTCTCGCATGCGTAGATGACTTTTAGTGACGTCATTAAGTTCTACGTCCTACCGTCATCGTGCAATCAAAAGCTTCCTATTATAAGGCATTGGGCATTGAGTATAGGATTAGAGAAGATGACGAAATGTGAGAGAGAGAGGGAAAGTAAGTAAAGAATGAGGGTGAAAGTAAATAGAAAAAAATGTGACCATTTTAAAATCATGGAGTGTTGTAATTCCTCAACATTTAATAATGTATCTTTGTATTTCAATGATGGTTAGTTAATATTAGTGTATATTAGAAAATGGATTTCATATTTTTAATTTTGTGTATGAAACTTTTATATCATTATCCTTTTCATCATCTTATCAATTATCATGTAAATTAGTAAATTACCTTGTGAGCCTTCTAGTGAGGTGTATGGGCCTTTGTACTTTTTCTTCCGTTTCTTTTTGCCCTTTTTCCCACTGCTAGTGCTACCCTTCTTCTGACTTTGCCGCTTCTTCCCACTTGATTTATAAAATTGCTGTTTCTGAGCTTTTGCCTTGTTTGTATCCCCAGGCTCCATAGAATTCTGCGAATCTGCACAATAGATTATTTCGCTAGTAGTAGGCCTATCAGTGTTCTTGATTTCTATTGGCGAAAATGAAAACAATGCTACTTTGTTTCCCACATCTTGATTATTGATGCCACTTGGTCCTGCGATTTGTGAATCACTATCCGGTTGTTTATTCAGCTGATTTACAGGGCCCAATTTCAATCCAACATCATGTATCAATGATGAGGGTTTAGGAGCATGTTTCCATTGCCTATTATTATTAGGCCTAGATGTTTTATCAGTGGATGACTTTTCTTTACTTTGTTGACCTGCGTCCCTGGGCATTATGTGGATGGCGGCAGATTTAGGCTTCGTCTCTGTTGATGTACACACTTGTATTTCTTGCCTTTCATCAGTTGCGTGGTTATGACATTTTCTGTAACTGGTACTTGGCCTACACTGTCCTGTTGTTACTTTTGAGGTGCCAGGTTGTTTAGAATAGTCTGTAACTACATTACTGACATTCTGATGCTTTGAATTCTGTTGACTTAGTTCCTGGGATGACTTCTCAATGTACTCTTCTTCCATACGCTCCATCTCCATGAGCAAGTCATCATCAATGTCTGATTCACCATCAAAGGAGAGATCATTATCATCTGGGCTTTGGGGCTTGTGTCTCTGATAGCACTTAGACTTTGCAACATTTCTACTTAATTGAGGCATGATCTCCTTCAGCCTGGAATATTGCTATGTACAAAAGATGAACTCAGGCCATGTGTTTTCCAATGTGAATTCTAGAGACAGGGTTAATGTTATTCTTTCATACTGTATTCATTTATCACATCCAGATACTGTGCGGCATACGGTAAATATCTGTCTCTCCATTGATTACATTGAATCTTGCATATTTCTTCTGCAAAAAAAAAATGATTTTACTGTCAGAGTCCCATTTACAAACACAAAACACAACAGTCAGGTTGGTTGAAATACAATTTTGAGCTTATACAGCAGGCCAGGCATACAGTAATAATAAGTTAGGCTTTACTTATCAAAACTAGGCTTACAGACTTAATAGTAGTAGTAGGCCTGAATCCGGGACAAAAAAAAGCACAATTATCTATCTTCATAATTATTTACTAAAATTACAGTAAGCCTACTTTTTTTATCTCAATTCTATCAGTTCTATCTCTAAACAAAAGACAACAATCAATAAAAGTGAGACACAATACTTGGTCTGGCCTGGTACATTGTAGCCCAAGCCAAGGTCATATCATCGATCCAACTCGGCCACAAGTCAACTCGGCCACAGTCAACTCGGCCACAAATCAACTCGGCCACAAAAAGTTCGGCTGCAGTAAACTCGGCCACAAGTCAACTCAGCCACAAGTTAACTCGGCCACAAGTCAACTCGGCCACAATAATATTGCTGTTATTATTGGTGTCATTGTTATTATTGTTTTTATTACCGTTAGTTTTAATATCAATTATTAGTATTAGCATTAACATTATGTATTTTTTAAATTTTTGCTGATATTATTATTGTTACCATATAAATAATACAACATTTTTTTAATTCATATTATTATTATATATTAGTAAATTACTGACTTTTACGTAAATTGACAGATTGTATAAATGGTGCGCAAAAAGGTAATGTAAAATAAGAAAAACGATGAATTTTTTTTGTGTTTGGTGGAGGAAAATTATTTAACTGGTTAAACTGATTATATGGCGTGTGCTTTTTTGGACTTGTGTATTGTTCATATTATTTGATGTATATCATTATATTTCATGTATCACTGCACGCCTCTCATACCATAGGCATAATTGTGTCGGAGTTCAAGTAACACAAACACACATCATACGCCTCCTCGTACGCCGCCCCGAGGCGTATATTTTTTATAACCTTGTTGTCATCACGCAATAACACATTTTGACAGTAGTTTTGGTCTGTCTCTTATACACATCTAATCACGTCATTGGATGCATCCTTGTCACTGACGGGTTTCAAACATATCCCCCAATGGTCGAACAAATATGAAGGACTGAAGTCTGTCACTCAACAATACCAATTGTTCCTATTGTGGATAATTGATATCAGATGCTGCACCCCACCTAATTTTAACGTAGGCCTAATTCCTGGGCGTGGTTCTGAAGAAAATAGTATCGAAATGCACGCCATCGTGCATTCATTTGATTTTAGTCGGATTCAAAATAAATGTTTAACATTTAAAAAAATCATAATGTGGTTTTTCTATTTCAATTTTTTATGATTAGGTCTACAGCTGTCTCTTATACACATCTAGATGTGTATTATGTGTTTTTCTTAATTATTAAGATTGCTTAAATTGTTAATGTTACAATTGTCAGATTTTATTCCATTCTGTAAGTGGCAGGTTTTCTCTGTTGAATAAGATTACAGTGTGAAGAAATGTATACAACGATCTCACGAGGATGTGACGATGATCAGAATTTTATTAAAATATACTTTGTACTTCATTTTAATCATATTGAAGAAAAAAGGATGCAGAAACTGTAATACCGTATTTACATTTCATTTTAATTATAAATAACTTGTGGCCGAGTTGACTTGTGGCCGAGTTAACTTGTGGCCGAGTTGAATTGTGGCCGAGTTGACTTGTGGCCGAGTTGACTGCAGCCGAACTTTTTGTGGCCGAGTTGATTTGTGGCCGAGTTGACTTGTGGCCGAGTTGACTTGTGGCCGAGTTGACTGTGGCCGAGTTGACTTGTGGCCGAGTTGACCTGCACCCATCCTATCCATGCATCGTTACACCCTAGATAGCTAGCTAGGTATAGCCCTACATAGCTAACCCAGAGTCAGAGACTACGAGACGACCGCTGCGGCGCCGCCTTTGCGCCTACCTACAGTACCTAACCTAGAGTACCGTACTAGGTAGGCCTAGGCCTAGTAGTGGTGTAGTAGTAGTAGTAGTAGTCACTAGTAGTAAGTAGGCTGATCGTAGTAGTAGCCTAGCTAGGCCAGAGTGGTGGTTAGTGCTAGCTAGCTGCTAGGCCTACTCTCCGAAGTATAATTTTAATGAAATAGAATATAGGATACAGTATAATTGTTCACCTCTTGCTTAACTAGTCCGAAACTACTTTACTTACGAGGTAACTAAAGCTGCATGTTGCTGGTTTAGCCTTTTAGCCTAGCCAAGAACGTACACTTTCAAAAACACCGCATTTTTGGTCTTCCTGCTGTTGGTTGACGACCATTGAACCGTAACGGCCACGCTTCTCCGAGAGAGGGCGCAAAACCTACATACTGTAGTTTAACTGTCGTATCAATCACGGAGATTATTTTATACCTCCATGTTTCAATCAATCATTTTAATATTCTAAATTATTATCTTTTAATTGAAAATGGAATTATAAATTGTTCAGTCACCAAATAGGAGATGTACAAACGTTTAATCTTTACATGAACATTTATTAATTGGTGATAATGATTTTCGTAAAAAAACGTCAGTAAATTCGCAATATTGCATTAAATATCTCTTCTCTTCCCTTACTCATAATCTTTATCTCAAAAACAGTAAAATTTATATACTTTCTTTCGTGTCTCTGGGTCGTTTCGTTCGTTTCACATTTTTGCATGATTGTTTTGTCCATAGTGTTTATGTGAAAAATAAAATCATTGCAGGCATATCTATAAGGCTTCTTAAAACATAATATGCCTACTATAATGTTACGCATCATCTATCGTGGGTATGCATGTGTCTATTATTACTGCATATAATTTCGGGAATTGCCGATGATATTGTGCTTGTAAGCTCTGTAGATTTCCTATTTTCGTGGGATCGTGAGGATTCCCCTTGTTCTGTGATACAGCCGTGATGGTAGCCAATCCTTGTGGAAGTTAGAGGCGTAAACCCACATTCTGGTGGCAAAATTCAACCGAATTGTCACGCCCTTAACTCGCATTTCGTGAGGAATACCCATAATGTTTTAGTGGTTCTTTTAATGAATACTATGGAACATAAACAAATTACATTTTGAATGAAAAAAACATGAATAACTATAAGGCGTCTGTTTCTTTCGCTTGTAGCCCAAAACATTAATCAAAACGTAGCCGAATCATGCTATTAACACGTATTTCGTGAGGAATACAACGCCAATGAGATATAAAAACATTTTTATATTTAATAAAGAAATAATTGATTAACTACAGAATCCGAACAAGCGTATATATCTGTCTCTTATACACATCTAGATGTGTATAAGAGACAGCAGAAGCAGAGTCCCATTTACAAACACAAAACACAACAGTCAGGTTGGTTGAAATACAATTTTGAGCTTATACAGCAGGCCAGGCATACAGTAATAATAAGTTAGGCTTTACTTATCAATCAAATATTATTTACTATGATTTTCCAGCTGCGACCTACACGCTATTCTAGCTTAACCACAGTTCGACTATGTGTGAGCGTTTCAGTCAGTACGAGAGAAAGTGCGTGTTGGTTAGATCTTTGCCTACCGGTATATCCTATAGCAGGGGTGTTTTTCATTTTCAGTGTTTTTAACAAAATAAGACGCAATAGGTCCACGCAATAACACATTGTGACGGTAATTATGTGTTGTGTAATTTGAACGTTAAAGAAAAGAAATCACGAGTGCGAAAAGAATTGCCTCAACCGGGATCGAACCCGGGACCTTCTGCTTTCTATGCAAACACCTTAACTAACTACGCCAAAAAAAAAAAAAATCAATCCGATTATGACAACAAAGTATAACTTATCTTATATACATACATGTATATATATATATATATATATATGGAAGTTTACACTTTTTAATTCCATCAACCTTCATAATTTTATGTGCATATATTATGACAATAAAGTACATCTTATCTTATCTTAAATTTGTGTAAAACAACAATGCTTACTATTGATCATACACCGGCATTAAATTTTCTATTAAACGAAAACACAAACTGTCTTAAGTAGTAAAATTTATATTATAATAAATAACGGTAATAAAAAGATAATAAATAATACTTTTCTATCAATTGTTTGACAATAAGATATTCATTCTTTTCACTATATGTAAAACTAGGCGGTCGATGTTAAAAAAATAAAATATTACCATCCTCTCTGCGCATGTCTGCCAAAATCGAATATTTGTATTTATTGTCTAAAATCTATTTCATTTTTCGATTTTTTTAAAAAGTTAAAGCCTAAAAGTTCGTGTATTTATAAAGTGCACGTAGGACCAATCGAGCGATTGGTCATGTTGCTTTCAAAAAATAATATTTACACATTTTATATTTTCATGAGGGTCACAGTCGTATAGTCTGCGCGTTTCTCTTTAAATATAGTGCAACTCGGCATTTATTTTTCGAAATTTGGTATATCGGTTTTCAAAGTTGCAGGAAAGCGATAGTTTAGTTAGCGTGTGTAAACTTAACTTGTTTCCAAAACAAACATACACCTAGAAGTAATTAAAACACTATACCGCCAACCAAACTCTTAAACCTCAAAGTTTTGAAAGGATTCAAAGACGACTACAGACAGATGATGTCTTGTATGCGACTGCGGCTCCAGATATATTTACGCCTACGGGTACGGTACGGTATGGTATTCTTTTTGGGGAGAGGTTATAATATTTGGATAGGTTCCAAATTATTTTAAAAATCACCTTGATGTTATAATGTTCAGTGTTATATTTCCAGAGTTATAATCTGTATTTTTTATCTCTCTTGCATGATGTAATTGAATTTGACTACAGACAAATAATAACATGATTTTAGAAAAAATAAATTGGCATAAGTTGGTTACGGTAGGCCTATATATAAAAGAGAAGATAAAAAAAGATGTATAGAAACAATAAATATTACACACTTGCTAAGAACAATTACGCAAGTAGTTAAAAAATCTCCTCATCCACCGCTGATACTCCCATACTATCTTATACGTTCCTCCCCCATCCCCGGGCCTCTACAGAGAAAACTTGGTATTGTATTTAAAAGCCGAACACATATTTACTCAAACACTCACTTTACATTTTAAAAAAAAGGCAAAGTTGATAGCAGTCATTTGTACTATAAATTGTGTGATATCGGCTCAGAGCCTAGCACCTGAAGATTGATGCACCCCTCATGAAACAGTCTGTAGTGCAATAAAATGCTTAGTCTTTAATTCTTTTTATGTTTTATTTGTCTATTACACCATAGAGTAACTGCTCTGTTATATGCTGCATTGCGTACCTTCATGATCCGGTTTAAGCCAACCACGCAGATCATTTTTTTTATAATTATGTTAAAAAATGTAACTAATTGCTTGTTGTTTTTTACTAAATCCGCGTTTGGTAAAGAACATTTGTAAATTCTATTTTAGACAGACACATTTTTTGATGACAGTGTTTCTGTACTCGTATCTAGAATTGTTAATTATGTTTGTTGGTTGTTAAAATTAGTTTCGAATTAGGTCATAGGTCTATTTATTATTTTTTTTTTGTAAATTTTCTGAAAGTGAAGATTTTAATTGTATGTTTTTATATGTTATGTTTTTATATGTTATTGATACCGAATAAATATAATAATAAAGCTGTACATAGAACTACACTAGAGGAACTTAATGTCATAAGGCAGAGAAAACATAGATCTTTTGAATATTTTTATATGACTTTTATATCTAACTTTTAAGTATTTATATACCGTATTTTGTTATCAGTGTGTACAAGGATAAATAAAGATAAATAAATGAACGTATGCTTAAGTCTACTAAAACCAAATCCAGCTTGTATGTTTCACATGACAACTACAGTTATTAAACATTTCATAATATTTATAATTTGAAAATAATTTGTTTCCTTTGTTTTCACTGTACTAAGTCTGATGGTTTGAGTTTAGAACGAGTCCATTCCAAGATGTTGTAGGCCTAAGTTTGAGGAGAGTTTGGGCAGTGTTCTATTTTGAATCGTGCGTCTTGCTTAAAACAGCTAATTAATATACTCCATGAGTGCTGTCTGATTGAAAGTTTATCAGATAATTACAACTCAAACATCTTAGTTTATTTTGACAATCGTAAAAACGAAAACCGCAGATGAACAAAATTAGCAACACCGTAAAAACGACAGTTTATTAGAAACAAGGCGCTCTCTCCTCGTGATCGAATGGCTTACAATAACTATTATCTGGAAATTAATTTCATTTAAGCGAAAACAAAGTACTAATAAATCTGTGAGGTTTCGTATCTATTTTCAATTCAACAACTCATGCTAAAAGACGCTGTCTTGTTGTCGACCTGTTTATGGCCGTGATATATAAAACGGATAGGCCTAACTATAGGCTACTGCACCCGGTTTTTACGTGATATTGCGGGTTTCATCGTTATCGGTGGTTAGAGCGCTCTCTGACGAGTTTAAGCTAATGATTAATTAGGCCTATGTGGTTTGTTGCGGTTGTGGACTATGAAATTACCAACTTGTTTAATTGAATAGGCCCTATGTCATAATCATCAAAAACTACATACGGAAAAATAAAAAATATACATTATAATACTGACAGAAGTATACAATTTAATTGACTTCAATTAGAGAGATTAATTTGACTGAGGAATATTTGAAATTATAAAAATAGGTCTGTGAAACTTTTAAATCGCTCTTACCGATGCAAGGGCCTATCTGAGTGTATCCACCACCTCTGAAAACGTTGCTGTCCCGACCGGTTGGCATAAGCACAACATAAAAGTTTGAAGTTTAATATCATTAGGCCTATAGTATGATTGATGTGTGATATTTAAATTTCGGACATTTCGTATTCGTATTGGACATTAATTTACATTGCAAAACAATGAAAAATTCTTTAGGTAATGATGAAGGCATGTTTAGAGGGGGAAAATAACGAATCTAATATGGTAGAACTAATCTTTTGAAACGAAAGTTTGGATTTAGGTTGTTATTTATTTACATATACCCAAACAATACCTTACATTATAGTAGGAAAGTACATTAATTGGTATTAGATCTCGTCCTATCAAGTTTGTACTAATGAGTTTGATCCTATCTATCCACCGGAAACAAAACAAAGGAATTTTGGAAATCAAATTCATTGGTAAAGGTTTGACTTGTAATTGATCTTAATTGCGGCTACCGCTAGCTTCTTTTGATGATGAAGTTTCGTCAAGAATATTAAATCTCTAGGTTACGAACTGGATGAAATCTGATTCAACGGCACGCTGTGTGACACGAAAAACAAAATATTAGCTGGAATTCTTCAACTAAAAATTCTCTCTTATT